ACTTTGTAGCCCGTCACGCCGTTCACTTACATACCAATGCAAGCAGCAGCATCTATTCCGTATCCTGCTCCTATACTACGATTATACCTCGAGAGCGCGCACGTCGATGCATTTGTATCGAGGGAGATTTATTCGCTTTGGGGTTTAATCGCGCTGCAATTGCTGCCCTATAAAAGCACAATAATCAAGGGTACGTTCCAGCAAAGACAATTAAGGAAAGGATCGCCGAGATAGTCCGTTATATTAATGAATATATGCCCTATTTTTCTGACACTGATTTATGATTGACCCAACGAGTTGCGCGACAAAACATATCGCTGCTCTCTCGTTTTTCCATCGCTTTTCCTTTTTCGAAACGAAAAACATGCCACAATGGCTACTCACTTACTCGCGGCAAATGGCCGCGGAATGGGGAGAAAAGAAAGCTAAATACGGCACTACACGCTTCCAACTGTGTGTGTGGGTGTGTGGTTCTCTTTCATTTTTCTTTCGCGAGAAAGTTCGGCGGAAAGTGTGACAGTATGTATACACTCTCTCTGGCTCGTGAACGATGAGGAAAAAAAAATTGCTTGCCATTTTACTGGAACTTCTCGCGGCTGCTGCAGTATATAATATAGTCGAGCATCTCTCTCTCTCTCTCGCTCTCCATCCCCTCCAACTCCGCCGCAAGACTAAAGAGGAAAGTGGTAAAAAGAAGTAGAGAAGTAAGAAAGGATGCGGTGCTGAAAAGCTCGCTACACAACTATTCATTGTTGCTCGGGTATATGAGATCGGACAATGAGGCTTTGGAAGGAGGATGACGGAGACTACGACGACTACTGCTGCTGTTGCCGCTGCTGCTGCGGCACAGAGAAAGAAAAAGACGGAAGGAGTTAGATCGGATAGATAGCGTCGCGAACAAACCACTCTTTAAGAGATCGCTTTATTCTCAACGCGCGCGTGCGACTACCACTGGTGGTAATCTGCTTTTGAATCGAGCGGGCGCGCGCGCGCGCCCCTTGAAAAAGCTCTTACTCGCACAGCTGCATAGTCACACCTTGGCCGCGTATAATTCTTTCTCTCTCTCCCTCTCAGTTTTTTCATCTTTTTTGCCGAGTTTTCATTGTTTCGCCACACTATCGCCTCGACTTTGTTGCAATGCGGTTTTCTCGCTTTCTGAAATTATAATTGTGCATGCGCGACAAGTATAGTAGTAGGTATATATACAGTATTCACGAAGCGAACGAGTTATTTTATGCATACAAGCCGTGAGCCGCAAGCACAGCTTTTATTTACGAGGTACAAAAAAATTCCATCCATGTGTCAAACGGCAAGCATATTATGTACGAAACGTACACACCTACGCGCTGTATATACACAGGCACGAGTTTCGTATTACTATTCCGCACCTCGCGTGTAGTTTTCTTTTCGGTATATATGCCATGTGTGTAGAGAGAGAGAGAGAGAGAGAGAGAGAGAGAGAGAGAAAAAAGAGGCAGTATGAAAAAATGTCAAACAAAGACATCTGCACCTATATCCTGTTGACGCGGTCAACGGTAGCGACTTTCATATATATGTACAGAACAACAACGGTAGCAGCAGCAGTAGCGGTGGCGGCAGCGCGGAAAATATCAAACGAAACCGCATATATACAACGCAATATAGCTATATACAGTGAGTCACAGCGCGCCCGCGTCGGTAGATCTACCTTACTCTCTATTTCCCAGCACGTTCTTACACGGGGTGGAAAAAATGAAAAAAAAAGAAATAAGAGTGAGTCCTTATATCCAAGAGCTGACCGTACTCTACACCCACACATACACATAGACACACACACAATGTGTGCGAGTGTGTGTGTCTATGTATGCGGTATACCCAGTGCGCATACTAAAAGGGCTCTAAGCATTTCCGCGCGAGGATTTATTTCGAGTCGCCGGCAATTAGCAAGGATATTTATGGCCCTTGGCCACTCGCGATATATGTATAGAGATAGAGAGAGATGCGCGGCATGCACGCATGCGTGTGTGGGTCTGCGTACACGAAAACGCTAATGCGTATACGCGAGAAAGTGCCTAACACGAGCGCGAGGGTGTCGTGATTTTTTTTTCTGCCGTACTGCCCTCGCACTGGCCTGGTATTTCCAAAACACACACTCGTGCGGCATACACCCCGGCCTCATCCTTTTTTGAGGCACGCACGCACGCATACAGACTATGCTGCCACATTTTATATACTTATATAGTATATAGCCAGACAGAGAGAAAGAATAAGAGATATCCCAACGCTGTTCGTGATGCGTCGCTGTATGCAAAATGAATTTATGGCTGCCCGAGCTCCGCGCCTAGTAGCAGTAGTAGTTATACCTTTGTGCGTTAGGTATTATATAAATAAACCCCACCATGGTGTACGCCACTGCTTTTCTGTATTATACATAATAAACGCGCGCGTGGGCGAAACAAAAGTCTCGCGTGCGCCGAATTTTTTAATTTCTGCGACCGAATCAACATCGCCCGCGCACACGTGTTTTATTATTGAACGAGACTCGGAACGACAACATCCATCATTACTTTTTTTTTCGTTATCAATGCGTACGTGTACTTTCGAGGGTCGTTCGTCTAGCTAATTTCTCGGTGAATCGAGCTCTGTGTACGCCGTAAAAGCGGAACAATAATGTTCCATCTCGAGGGCACTCGCGTATTGCTCTTAGGAAACAATGCGCTGATCGAAAACTCAGGAAATACTGAAATTATCGCGACAAAATGACCAATTTCCAGCCCCGGGAATATGTCTACGCATCCAAGTTGGGTGTGTATTGTGTGTGCGCGAAAGGGTGTTGTATTTCTCTATGCGGCGCGCGAGTTTGTATAGCAGTACACACTTACACACCCGCACACAATTTTGCCGCGCTCGAGCGTTTCGATGGTGGACGGACGGACGGGCGGGCAGCAGGGAAAACACAAGAGAGCCACGCGTGGTGCGGCCAGTTCGTTTACCCATTGTTTTCGAAAATTACCCTCGTTCGAGCACAATGGCGTGTCGAGAGCACCATCAGCACTGCCGCCGCGATCACCGCGCCCGGAGCACGCGATCTATATAGCTATAATAATAGAGGGAGAGGGGAAAAATCTAATCTCGCGAACGAATTTTTGGATATGGCCTTTTCGCGGGCGCGCCAAAAATATTTGGGCATCCAAAAAGCACTTCATGCGAGGAGCCGAGAGCATTCAAAATCGGTACGCGTCAGCAGATATGACGCATTTTAATAAAGTTTCACACGCGAAATCGTGTAAGGAGTGTAAGTTCGTTCGATTTATCTAATCTCTAGCATCTGCTTCGAAGATTTATACACTGGCTCCTGTCGAAAAATAAAACATACAAAAAGCCTGAAAAAATTACGCGCGGCTGCGTATAACTACACACGCACACACGCGAAGTATTTATCGATATACCGGAGCGATAACACTCGTCGAACAGCGGCACCTTTTTTTCGTGGAAAAATTGCTCTCGATTCTCTAGGCCGTCGAAAATAAAAATATACTCGCAGGGTTCGCGCGGCACATCGATGCTAATCTCGATAAAAATGAAGCACGTCGCAAGCTCGTCGACGCTACGGCCGGCTCGCGCGGATTGGATGCGTCCGTCGCCCGCAGTATATAAACTAGTTCTATCCCCCCTTTTCACTGCGTGTATATACGCGCACGAAGCAGCAAAAAAGCGCTCGAGTGTGTAACAAGCCATTCTATTATTATTACTTCATCTCTCCATTCTGCGTCTCGCTCTGGGGTCGTCGTAGTCGTCGTCCTTGTCGCGCGCGCAAGCTCCAGCGCAGCTCCGAGAGAATATACATTACAGTAAGATGTGCTTAAAAACGTCGAGACGAGTACTAGCAGCAGCAGTGGTAGTAGTAGTAGTAGTAGTAGTAATAGTAGTAGTAGTAGTAGTAGTAGCTTCGCTCTCCTAACGACGAAATTTAATAACGAGAGATCCTGCTTGCGCTATTGACGCATCGCAGCTGATATTCTTTCTCTTACAGGTCGTTGGACTCGTGTGCAAAAGAGAGAGAGAGAGACAGAGAGGAAAAAAACGAACGAGGAAGACAAGAGAAAGAGAGGGAGAGAGAGAGAGAGAGAGAGAGAGAGAGAGAGAGAGAGAAAGACAGTGGGAAAGAATGCAGCTTGGGGGAAATTCAATCTGCTTCCTCTAGGCGAGTAAAAAAAAAAGAGACGACGGGACGAAAACGAGATCGGAGGAGAGCGAGAGCAAGAAAAAGGAGGTCAACGATGTCCTTAAACTTTATAAGGATATAGAGAATGGCTGGCCGCCCGCGCGCTCGCAAGCTCACCTGTGAGCTTCTTCACCTTTTTTTTTGGGGCTCTCCATCTCTCTTTCCTTTCTCTCTCTCAATTTTTGTCTTCATTGCCCCAGTCCCAAGTATTACTATTATTATATTCGATGGAGTTGCACCCTCGAGAGAATGAATCGGTTGCGCGTCTCTTTCTCTCTACGAATATGACGGCAATTCGGCAGCTGTTACACGCGCGATAACGAGGACTTCCGTCGTAGACAATTGACTACCAAATTGCTGACTTTTACAAATCTATATTATATATCTGATACTGTAGACTGAAAACACAATCGAGCAGCAGCTACAAAATCGAAACGTTGCTGCTTACTCAAAATTCGAGTAAAATATAGCTCGATTTGGTGAGTAGTAGCTACTCGATACGTTGAGTGTATAGAATAATTAAGCCAATAGATGGACGGGCTTCCAATATTTGTAAATAAAAGTGTGAGGTATGTTGAGTCTCGTTATTAAATCATTGAATCCTCTTATAAAAACAAAATTGCAAAGACATTTTGGTCACGATTAGTCTTAATATAAAATCTTGAAATATTTTATATCAGAGTGCGCCGTTTTTAGTATTAGTGTTAAGAGATTACCGCCGGGAATTACCATGCATTTACTATTTATTAATAAACAACGGTTTTCGAGGACATTGTAGGGTTTACAGTAAAACTCTTTACCTTTCATCCTGTGCATTGAGAAATAAGGTTTATATGTTTCAAAAAATCGAGATTTTACACTTCAGAGGAGAAAAAACGAAGATTTTTGACAAATCAGTAGATATCAGGCTGTACGTTCACCGTAAAAAAACGTGTACCGAAACAATTTCCTTTAGTACTCGTATACGTATCTTGCGAGAAGTGTAACCCCTCTATTTCAAGATTTCGAAAAAGGAGCATGGTTTCTCCGAAAAAGATTTTTTTTTTTTTTTTTTCAAAACTTGGATATAACTTTTACAAATATCATAATGAAATAACAAAGGAGTTTATAATATTATAAAAAGAAAAATTTCAAATTGGAAATATGATTAACTGCATGATCGTATATCACGATTTTGTATACTAATGAACATAATTTTATAAATTTATAAGGTCATACTATGCACCTTATTGATGTGGACTTTAAGATAAGACTTGCTTGAAAATGACTTTCCGCATTTATCACATGCATGAGTAATTTTTTTATGTTCCGTTTTCTTGTGTATTTTCAAGTTATCCATAGATGAGCATTTCTTTTCGCAAATATTGCATACCCTCATAGTGTTATGCACTACATTGGTGTGAGTTTTGAGATGACTCTTCGTTGATAATTTCTTTCCGCACACATCGCATGTGTGATACCACAATGACATGCCTCGATGTGAAGTTGAAGATTATATTTTCTTGTAAATGTCTTTTTGCAAATATCGCAAGTAGGTCCAGTACCATTGTGCACGGCATCAATATGATCTCGAAGAGAAACTTTATATGGAAATGCCTTTTTGCAAAAACCGCATGTATAGGTGATCCCATTATGCATTGAATCAATGTGATTTTTGAAACAATTCTTGCTTCTGAATTTTTTTTGGCATTCATCACAGACGTACTTAATACCACTATGCTCAGTTTTAATATGGAATTGGAGATTTATCTTGCTTTCGAATGTCTTTTTACGCATATTGCATGCATGCTTGGTACTATTGTGCACTGAATTTATGTGAATTTTAAGCGAACTTTTCAACGAAAATTTCTTGCTACATATATCACATGTATAGCCAATACCATCATGTACCCAATTAATGTGCAGTTTGCGATAACCCTTTGACGTAAATGTTTTTCCACATTTATCACAAGCGTAGTTGACGCCATTGTGCACCGAATCTATGTGGATTTTGATATAATATTTTGATGTGAATGTTTTATCACATTTATCACAAGCGTAGGTGACACCATTGTGCACCGAATCTATGTGGATTTTGAGATAATATTTTGATGTGAATGTTTTATCACATTTATCACAAGTTCGAGTTATGTCACCACGCATCGTAGCAATTGTTTTTTTGAGTTTATGTTTACGGTTTAACTTTTTTGTGACTATTCTCTTTTTATTTTGCTTTTTTAGCTCGCAGTCAAGCTTTGTGACCAATTTTGTAGCGTTATCACCACAAAATTCTTGTTTTACTACTGCTGCAGTTTCAACTTTAATTGTCTTTTGTCTGTTCTTGAAAATTAATGAGTCCACGTTAAGCTTTACATCTTTACATTCGAAATCTATTTCCATTTTTTCAAGCTCAGCTTCATAAGTTTCCTCGTATTTTTGCAGCTTATTGGTCTGCAAATAAAATTACAAGTGACTAAAAACTTTCATAAATATTTTTGACTGATAATAATAGCATATTAACTCTTACAGTATTTTCTAGCAGAAACTTCGAACATTGAACATCATTAGTATTGGGTGTCTTGTCAATTGATTTACAATAGTTTTCCGCAAGCGACACATCGCAAGGTTCGTTTTTCACTCTGAAATAATACGATTTAATATTATGCTATTATATAATATAATTTAACTTTTTTTTATAAAATAAAAAATTACTTGACAGCACAGTTGAATATACTACTCGACTCCATCTTTTTCGATTCGAATTTCAGCAGCTATTAATGTTTCCTGCAATATTCCAAATCAATTCAACCATATTAAATTAAATCCAAATCATACAAATCATGCTATAAAAATTAATCAAAGTAATGTAGAAAAAACACTAAATTATTACAAATTTTTGAAGAAATAAAATTATTCATCTTCCAAATTTAAAATAATCATTTTTCTATAAATGAAAGAAAGAAATTAAAAGTACAATTAATTTATTAAAAATAATTAAAAATTGATAATAAATTTCATTTAATTTTACATATAAGTAGTACAAGTAGATCTTATGCTTAGCTTAAATTAGCGATTGTGGCCAGTGGTCCATCAAATAAACTGAAACCTCATTGAACTAAATTTACTCATCTTAGAACAAAATACATTTGGATGATGCATTTGACTTAACGGTCCATTAAAAAAGTTTAGGAGGTATCAGCTGACACTGTAACGAAGTTTCATGCATTTTTCGAGGATGAAACTAGATTGAACTTGATTAGATGGATCTGGACAGCAAAAAAGCAGTCCAGGTTTTGCCTAAAGTCGCCCAGTAATCACTACTCAGGAGTTTTCGATAGCAATGCCACGATTCAAAGTAACAGTTACCCGTTTCTTTTTTCAGTGACAGTAAATTTACAAAGATGCTCGAGGGGCGGATGCGACAATAAAGCGTACGACCCGTCAACTTATTTCGCAAGCAATACACACATTTTCAATATAGAAGGAGAGCCTCTATTAACTGCCTCCACTACTGCGTATGTGCGGTATATATACATTTTAGCAGCAGGAATAGCAGCAACAGTATTAATTCTGCGTAGCGCAGCGAGGTAATGTTTGTCTATGTTACGATTGGATACCCTATATGGCAATACTCAATGGGCTTGTGTGTAAGCCCACGTCCCCCAGATATAGCTTGCGAACTGCCTCTACGTGTATATTGTGTATAGTTGGCCAGATGGGCCAGCAGCAGTAGAGAGCGAGAGAGGGAGAGCAAGAGAGTGAGAGCTAGTTTCTCGTCCTTTCCATTGTATATGCGGGTGCACTCGTGTGTGTCAATGTTTCGTATCGTTGCTAATATAACAAATATATATGCGCGTGTGTGTGTGTGCGTGTATGTGTATGGGTGTGCTGTGCTACACGTACTTCTGCCGCGTGCACAGAACGGCGCGCAACGAACGAACAAATAAACAAACATGCTAATAGCAACACACGCCACGCGCGTATATAGAGCAATAACACGGCCGCGCGGCCGCGTAAGAGAGGGAGAGAGAACGGTTACGCTCCACAGGCCTCGAGTGAGCTTTCGCTCGCTGCGTCATATTCGTATACGTATATAGTTATGCTGCAACTACTCGTCTCGTTATGTAAACTCACACATTCGCATAGTTTCGGGCGAGTGATATTTGTAAAGAGCTCCATCAGCGACTCGTCTCGACGTAGGAATAAATTTTGACGAATATATATTCCGTCGTTGAGCGTGGGGGCTAACTCTGCGACGGAGCCAACATTTTTCTTTACATGTGACGGCAAGAAGAGAAAGAGAGAGAGAGAGAGAGAGAGAGAGACATATCTTTCATAAAAGCTCTCGCAAGCTCGAGTGACACAAAAAAGCTAGCCAGCCAGCGGTGCGGTGGTCAGGCGGTCAAACGATCTCGGGATCGCGATTCTCCATACGTTACATGCAGCCAAGCAAACCGAACCGTTCCGATAACTCATTTAAAATAGTCTACTCGCGCGCGCGCTCACAAAAAAGGTCAGCTGTGCTTCTGCTGGCTCTCCTCCTCTTTACACAATGCTCGGCCATTTAATCTCAGGCGTATAATCTCGCTTGACCCGCGTGCACACACACACATACACGTATACTGCATGTCTGCGTACGTACACGTAGGTAACTTTCTTTCTGCAGTCAGCCAACTGCAGGTACGCTTCTTTTTCTCTCACTCTCTCTCGCATTTTTTTTTGTACTGCGGACGTTAGCAGCTCCGACCACGAACGTAGTTCTCGTGGGAGTAGCAGTAGCAGCAGCCGCTCCCCATCAAGGGCTATATATATATGTGTGCGAGCTTGCAGTGCAGACTGCTCTAGCTGCGCGCACGTGTGCTGTATAGATATATATTTTATATGGATGGAAAAAGGCCGATGCTTTAGTTACATATATCTATAATGCCAGTGGAGGAAGAACCAGTGGGTCTGTATGTGTGCGCTTGCCAGTATAGATATGTACGAGTCCGAGCTATTTGAACTATTTTCTTGTGCGCTGCTTACTCCCTACCAGAGCTATATACTTCCATGTTATAGCCGTTAACTTTGGCTCTCGCGGGCACGTTTGTATATGTGTGTTGATGAAGCTTTTATTATTTGTCGCAAGCACAGCTTGATTCTATGGCTTCCGTTGTTTTCTTTTTCTTTCTTACTTTCTTTCTTGTTGCCGTTATAATTGCTCATTCCTATACTCGAATCACGTATACTCGAGGAAATATATAATTCAATATCATCGACGACGTTCCCACGAGGTGTTTTTTAATTTTTAATATTTTCGATTAAAAAAACCCCCGTTCGAGCGTAGAAAAAAATATTTTTTCTCGACACATACTCGAGCGAATATGAAAAAGCGTTTTTGCGCGAGACTGCACTCAGAGCGACCGGTCACGTAAATCTTTATTATTATATATAAGTCTGTAAATTCGCACGAGTGTGCGAGTCTGAAAGTTCGTCCATGCATTGTGCCCGATATGAATGAATCTACGTGTTTTCCATTGAAAATTTGTCAAAGTAGCTCTTAAAAGTATATTAGACGTCGTGCACGCGCGCCCGCGCGCGAGAGCGAAATACGCACCGAGAATCGCTAGCTAGCTAGCTCGCGCGCGAGAAGCTCTTGTACTTTCGAGAATTTTAAATTCTTCTTCGGAAAAGTAAGTATAAGCTCGAATGAATGGCACGGCGCTCCACGTCGCTCTGAGCAGCTGAGAAGCGGCATGTATATAAAGTCTCACTGCTGCTGTGAGCCATCTCTCTCTCTCACCCTCTCTGGCAAAAGTTATATTATAAACTTGGCGCGAAACTTCAAGCTTATTGTAACGTTTCGTACGTACTCGTGTGCGCGCCTCGATATATTATATATACTTTGTACATATTACAAGTTGCGAGTGGGTGTGCGTACGTCCACGTGGGTGGGTGTGACGAGCGACAGAGCTTGTATGGCACACATGATCAAAATGTCGCGAATACGCAATCTAGTTGAGAAATAAACTCGTGAGAGAATATTTCTATTCGTCCGGTGTGAGCTATTACTTACAAGTATACTGACCAACAGCTGGCGAACGCTAAAGCTCCTTTCGGACTTTGTTGGGAGGTCGAGGCGAACCTCTCGCGAGCACCTGATGCACAACTCTCTCTCGCTCGCATAAACGTGATTAGCACGCAGTATTCTGCGGAGCGTACTGCGCACTCACACACATACAGCAGACAGACACTTACACACACGTACGAAAGATGCATGCACTACTGCATCGATCCTGCACAATGTGTGTATGTATACGTATACGTGTGCGCGCGCGTCTAGCTTATCGGATTTCCCAAGAGACACTTGGCACGCTTCAACAGCGCCGTTACTAAATACACGCACGTGTGCGGATATACCGCTATGTGCGTGTGTGCGAGTGCTCGTGTGTAAGAGTGCGTATATACACGATATACGCACATGCATGGTTCGAGCTATTATTAGGCAAGCCCAAGTTAATTACGCGGCCAACTCCCTGCAAGCTCGTGTCGGGTCCGAGCTTTATATGTATTATTATTGTTGCTGTTGTCGCTGCTGTTGTTGTTGTTATTATAATGGATATAGATCAATAATGAGATGCTTATTGTATATACCTGCGCGAGAAGGAGCGGAGGGCGCGCTAATGGTTACCTTGATCTCTATCGAGGCTTTTAAGCGAGCGGCAAGGAACTTGCGGACTCGAGAGGCACTCGCGCGTCTTTTAATGGTATAGGTATATAGAGCTCGCTCTGCGCAGCGCGCACATACATATAGGTATAGGCCTAGAGCGGTAAATCAGAGCCTTCGAGGGATATAGATATTTGATACTCGACGGAGTGATGAGATTCGAGAGAGAGTGGTAGAGAGAGGGTCTTTATTAGATTACTGTTGAGACTGTATCAAAGAGGCGCAAGCTCGATTGATTTTCGACCACGATGGAATATTACCTAGGCATATGTATCGAGAGGGTGTGTGTGTGTGTTATTATAATATCTACGTATATAGCTAAGTCCATATACACCAGCTGCTGCTGCTGGAGGTCAGATTCATGCGGTCGCATTAGTCGCAAAAAGCTCGCAAGCTCGCTGGTGCGCTGCCACACAGTCGAGCGTCAGAGAGAGAGAAGTTTTGAAATGTAATTTTTTCTTGCTTTCAAGCGCGCGCGCGGCCTATATAGTATACATACAGAAAAGCAGGGGCTCGAGAAATGCGCCGCGTGGCACGCAGACACCTCGGTAGCCGTCTACCGCGTCCTGTCGTGCGTGATTCCGGACACAAAAACACTCGTTTACATTTCTTTACAAGTGGATCGACCGACACAACTCTAGCCTATAGCGCGCTGACCGGGGTTTGCGACCGAAAAAGAGAGAAAGAGAGAGAGACGAAGAAGAAGGAGAAGGAAGACAGACTAGTATAGCTGCTCTGGAGCTTTTGCACTGAGAGAGAGGCGAGAAAACCGATGAATATTTACGTTGTCCAGTCTGGATAGTAGTAGTATAGCCGGGCGCGCGCGAGCGAGCGAGGGAAACTTTTCAAGCGGTCAATGCGTGCTGGGAAAGCCAAAGCAGAGCATGGCTGCTACTGCGAGCTCAGAGCTTGTCGTCACGTGCGCGCCTCTCCTCTATGGCAAACTTCGAAGGACTGCCTAGGCGTTGCTGCTGCTGCTCCTCGCTCTCGTGTATAGTTTCGTTGCTATTCTCGGGCTCTTCGTTTTCCCCCCTTTTTTTT